GTGTGGTATTGCATTCTATTGTGCTCTGCTTTTTAAAAGAGTCTTTATCTTTTAGAGATACTAACTGAAATGCCTGTAACATTTATAGATGTTTACAGATAAAATCTGAGATTTGCTTCAAAATAAGCCAGTGAAGTGGGTAGGAGGAAAGAGGAAACAAGATTGGCTGGAGTAGTTGGAGTTGTTAATTGTTTAGGTTAGGTGAAGGGCCCTGAGGGTGTAATTACATTATTTCCTGTACTTTTGTAGCTGCCTGATATTTTCCATCATAAAAGGTTAAAAAATTAGAGACTGCTGGCTAAATGAAAAATCAAAAGCATGAAGACCTGTCACAGGACCAGTCTTAGGATCTACTGATATCCGCCTGTCAACGTCTTCACCCCTGGGTGCTTGGGTTAAAAGGAGAAGGCTATTGGGGTGCCTGGGTGGCTCAGTACGTTAAGCGTCCAACTTCAGCTCAGGTCACCATCTCGCTGTTCCTGGGTTTGAGCCCTGTGTGTTCAGCTCTGTGTGCCGACAGCTCAGAGCCTGGAGCCTGCTTCAGGTTCTGTCTCCTTCTCTCATTGCTCCTCCCCCGCGTGCTCTCTCTCTCTCTCTGTCTCTCAAAAACAAACATTAAAAAAAATTTTTTTAATTACAAAAGAAAGTAGAAGGCTATTTAGAGAAGCCCCATTTCTGAATCCCACCTTGCTTTACCCCCCCTCACAGTGTGATCCTGGACAGGACTTCCCTGAGCCTCAGTTTCCTCCCAGGAAGAGTAGGAGATGTGCGAGGGAGCGTGCCTGAGAACATGCTCACCCCCACTGCTCCATAGCTGGGGGAAGGTAGACCCTGAGATGGGAGACACCCAAGTATCTACCATCAGAAGGGGCAACTAAGGTCTGGCCATCTTTACAGGGCTATAGAGGGAGCTCTTCAAACTTTTTTGTTCATGCCACCCTATTAGAAAACAGTTTAAAAAAAGAATTTTTTTTTTAATGTTTATTCAGCTTTGAGAGAGAGAGAGACAGAATGTGAGCAAGTACAGGGCAGAGACAGAGGAAGACACAGAATCCAAAGCAGGCTCCAGGCTCTGAGCTGTCAGCACAGAGGTCGATGCGGGGCTCAAACCCACAAACCGTGAGATCATGACCTGAGCCGAAGTCGGACACTTAACCGACTGAGCCACCCAGGCAGTCCGAGAAAACAGTTTTTAAAAAATGTTTATTTATTTTGAAAGAGAGAGAGCAAGTAAGGAAGGAGCAGAGAAAGAGGAAGAGAGAATCCCCTCCACGTGGGGCTCATGCCCTGAGGTGAAATAAAGATGCTTGGGGTGCCAGGGTAGCTCAGTTTGTTAAGCATCCGACTTCAACTCAGGTCATGATCTTGCAGTTCTTGGGTTTGAGCCCCACATGGCTCTGTGCTAACAGCTCGGAGCCTGGAGCCTGCTTCAGATTCTGTGTCTCCTTCTCTTTCTGCCTCTTGCCTGCTCACACTCTTTCTGTCTGTCTGTCTCTCTCTCTCTCTCTCTCTCTCTCTCTCTCTCTTTCTCTCTCTCTCTCTAAGATAAATAAACAGTAAAAAAAAAAAATTAAAAACAAAAAAAGAGTTGGATGCTTAACAGACTGAGCCACCCAGGCACCCCTAGAAAAAAAGTTTTTAAAAATTTCTACCTCTATTCATGTAAGAATTATATACGTATACTGTTTTACTAATACAATATATTATAAAACAGACACAGAAATTTTTAAAGAAGATGAAATAACAATTATTTTAAAATGTTGTTATTATTTAAATATACAAATTTAAATTTTAAATTAAATATTATTTTAAAATGTTTCTAGTTCATCTTATCTCTAACACATACCTTATATACTTTCTCATGGGACAAAGTACCCTCGGTACAGCGATTCATCATTACAGAGAGTGGCTCTAAGTCTGCGTTTCAAATAGTTTTCTTGACAATTTTGAATTATTTTGGCCAAGCACTCCTCAACTTCCCCGGTACTTGTATTCCCCCTGCTGACTGACAAAGGGCTGGCAGGGGGAGGAGAGGGCCAGCTCTGGCCTTTGTAGGTGCCCTGCTTACTTTATTCATGTTCCCTTCACTCTGGAATTTCCTTGTGTGGGTCTTGTAAAGCGACTGTCCATTGTGTGAGCATTGATTTGGTTAAAAGTGCTCAACAGAATCTGTAAACCTGTGTCCTTGGGCATACCTCATCTGAAACTCCTCTCGCTTTGCTGGAGAGCAATTGAGTGAGGCTTGAGGGCTCCTTCCCGCGGGGCTGGCTGCTCGCCACCTCCTCAGGGCCCACTGTAAGTCTGTGTATAAACGAAAGCTAAAGTTGCTTATCTATTTTGGATTACAAGTAAATGTGAATGAAAGGGGAATGAATACTCCTTTTGGAGACCCTGTTCTAGAAAGTCCCAGACGGGCTGTGGCTCTCTTCTGTATGTACTCTCAGTGTCTGGCTGTGTTGTCTTGCTCAGGATAGCTGGGCAAGTCTCCTGGTAAGTCTCTAGAAATGCTTTTCTGTTTTGGCAAGTAGGCTGCAGTGTCTCCGTTTTCATTTCTCTTTTCCATGTGGCTGTACTCCTGTCACTTTTCCTTTTTTTTTTTTTTTCCTGCTTCACTCAGTTTTTTCCTTTTTGTCTTGCTGTCCATTTTCCTTTTCCTTTGAAAAACATAACCAGCTATGGGGCGCCTGGGTGGCGCAGTCGGTTAAGCGTCCGACTTCAGCCAGGTCACGATCTCGCGGTCCGTGAGTTCGAGCCCCGCGTCAGGCTCTGGGCTGATGGCTCGGAGCCTGGAGCCTGTTTCCGATTCTGTGTCTCCCTCTCTCTCTGCCCCTCGCCCGTTCATGCTCTGTCTCTCTCTGTCCCCAAAATAAATAAACGTTGGGAAAAAAAAATTTAAAAAAATAAAAAATAAAAACATAACCAGCTATAACGACTGTATTTATTGAATGGCTTCCTTATTGGGCACTAGGCACTAAGGAATGAATCAAGAAGCACCGGGTATAACTTGTGCTGGCAAGAATGGAAACTGGGAGCCCTACTAGGGAGGGCAGTGTGGAGATTTCGGTCAGATCTTCCAGTGCACAAACCCTCTGACCTAGTGGCTCCACAGCTGTACGTACATCGAGATCTCACATGGATCGAATGGTGGAGCACAGGGATTTTCATTGCAGTTTTGTTCGTGGTATAAGAAACTGGAAACAGTCGTGGGTCCATCAGCAGAAGAGAGAGGGTTAAATCCCCCCTAGAATCCACCAGTGGAACCCTCCACAGGGGAGGCAAAGTGACTGGGCTCCAGTGACATCGCTGTGTGTAAAACCCAAGGTGCAGAAAGACGTACGTTGTGTTTATAATTAAAATGTAAAAATAAAGCAATATATTTATTGTAGAAACTTTTAGAAAGGAGGAAAATGACTAGAAAATCAAAGACCCCCTTATCCCACCACTCAAAACGTGAATATTTTGGTCTTGTTTTCTTCTAGTAAGTCAGCAATGAACCAACTATATTGCTCCCCTCAGTATGTCTCCCTCCCCTCAATATGAGGCATCATTCTTATCCTTTCTGATTATGAATGTAAAATGAGTAATACATGGTGATTTTAAAATGCATTAAGCTAAAGCAGAAGAAGCCAGTGTAGTTCCCATATTTTCTTGTTTTGTAACTTTTTGCTTTATGCAAATGGTGAACCACTGTCTCTTTTAAATCTCTGTCTACATCAGCCTAATTTTTAGTGGCTACAGTACTGTATCATAAACCACCCTAGATGGACCCTCCTGGGCACAACTTGCACCCTGGCCTGGGTTTTTCCTTGTATTAAGGTCTTTCCTAGAAGTGGTAGATATGGCTGAGGCCAGGGTCTTACTTTCTCCATTTTGACACGTGCTGCTAAATCCTGAAGAAAAAAATGTCATTGTTTCCTTCAGTACTTCCCTGTGTTAGTCTCTATGGTCTTACGGTATATTTCATTTATTTATAAAATTTTTTTAGGTTTATGTACTTATTTCCAGATAGAGAGTCACAGCATGCAAGCAGGGGAAGGGCAAAGAGAGGGAAAGAGAGGATCCCAAGAGAGAATCTGTGCTGGCAGTGCAGAGCCCGATGTGGGGTTGGAACCCACGAACTGTCAGATTATGACCTGAGCTGAAATCAAGGGTCGGTTGCTTGAGGGGTGCCTGGGTGGCTCAGTCCGTTAAGTGGCCGATGTTGGCTCAGGTCATGGTCTTGCCATTCGTGAGTTCAAGCCCCGCATCAGGCTCTGTGCTGATAGCTCAGAGCCTGGAGCCTGCTTCACATTCTGCCTCCTCTCTCTGTCCCTTCCCTGCTCACATTGTGTCTCTCTGTCTCTCAAAAATGAGTAAATGTTAAAATATTAAAAAAAAAAAAAAAAGCGGACACTTAGGACACTTAACTGCTTAACCAACTGAGCCACCCAGGCGCCCTAATGTATTTTAACTTAACATTAAAATTAAGGATCTCTTCATTGTTCTTTTAAGTTGCTTATTGATTAAACAACTTACTCCCTGCCCCTCCCCAGTCTGTCCCTCTCTGCTTAGGGAACTTATGGAAGCTTCTTTTTGTGCATAGCTCTCTTGTCCCCTGGTTGCTGAGGGGTGCCCACATGGAGGGTTGTGCAAGGGTCTGACTTCTGCTGCTGTGCTCCTCTGCTTCCTCCAATATGCCTGCCCCGCCTATCTCTTCTTGCTGGGATGGGCTGCCCCTCCTGCTGGTGAGATCAGCACTATTAATGGTCTGCTTAATCCTGCCCGTTGTCTGGGTGGAGGGAGGAAAAAGGAGGGGGATTCCCAGGACATCAGGGTGCTATGTTGCCTGCAAGTGAAGAGACCTATGGCCTGCGGTGGCCCGTCTTCTGGCAGTCAAGCCTGAGGTGCCTGAGAGTTCAGAGCCTGCTGGGAGCCTTTGAGGGCAGGAAGTGGGCGACCTCGCTTGCTGGGGGACCAGCGAGGGAGATGCCCAGGACACCGTCTTGGGTAGTGGGAATCCCATGTCTGATCTGGGGCCTCTGGATATTCCACATGAGAAAAGGCAGCAGGAGCTGGTGAGTAGGGCCCTCTCCGGGCCTTTGTGGACTTTGAAACCCAGCACCTAGTAATGTGTTTTTCTTATGGTCTATGAGAGATTATAAAGTTTTTTATGGGGGGAGGAGGATACAGCAGTTTGCTAAACTGGGCAGTGCGGAAGGTGGAGGATTGGGCTTTCTGGGGTCCCTGCAGACCAACCTATATGTATCCAGCAAAACGTTTGGGTGTCTGCTATGTTCCAGGCATGAGGTGGGAGGGGATGGCATAGCATCGCCAGTCGACTGCATAAGCAACAGTACAAGTGCTGGTGAAGGGAGAAGGGAGCGCTGGGGCGGGACTGGGCAGTGAGTGCTAATGGTCCCCATGGTGGAGCCCCCCAGGGCTGAGCCAAGGGTGGTAAAGAGGAAGGGTTGGGGAGGGACTCAGGCAGGTTATGGGGCCTCTTGCTCCTTGCCCCTGTTCCAGGTGGGACAGGGCAGGTGAAAGAGGCCTCACTGTGGTTCTCTGACTGGGAGGAGACCTGGCTGGACAAAGGTCGGAGAAGGGCAGCTGTGCGGGTAGGAGCTTCACGGCCCAGGAGTGCGAGTAGGAGCTTCAAGGTGCCTCCTTTCTCACAGCCAGGTTGGTTGCCCCTTGCTAGCAGTGTTTGAATTTAAAAGGAAGCCCCAGTCCCGCAGGGTTTGGGGGTGGGGGGTGGGGCAGGGAGCAGTGTGAGAGTCTTTTTCAAAGTTACTTCAGTGGATGTCTTTCTTTCTGATTGTAAAATTAAAACTATTGACTGTGGAAAGGTTGGATTTTCTATTCAGAAAAGTATAAAACAGAAAAACCATCCTGAACCTCCCATACTTTTAGGTTGAATAATATGAAATTGTCATTTTTCTTGGTCAAAAATAGTCAAATATCAACAATTTCATGTGGATCAGCCAAATATGAGCATGTTGCTATATTTCCTCATTCTTTTTTCTTTGAGTGAGGACTACTTTGAGAACTGAGGGATTCTCAGCTTTTGGGATAGATGTATTATTTAAATTTTCATGTTTCATTTCTCACCCCAACCACCCCCAAAATCCAATTATCCAGTTGAATGCACATTAATAATAAAATGAGGTAAATCATTAAAGTAAAAATTCTGTATTAGATTTAAATTTCATAGAATGAGGATCATAAATATAAGTCCCAAGTTGGTCTTTTTATTTTAAAAGGTAAATTAAAAATGATTTTTGAATTACGGAAACTTAATTACTGAAATTCAAAATAATTCTTCTCTAGGCTCCATCCCTTTCCCCCTTCCCATTGATTACATTTTTTTTTCTCCTATGGAACGTCCACGTGAACTGAGTGAGTCATTCATTCCCTGATAGCCATTGAACACTTAACTGGATGCCAATCGCTGTTCTGAGTTTCAAGAACACAGACTAAAGCCCCTGCTGTAGTGTAGCTCAAAATATAGCAGGAGAAGACGGGCCATAAATGATAAGTTCATTGAATAAGCGTACTATATCATTTATTTTAGGGGATTTAATGACTAGGGTTGAGGTGCTGGAGGAGGAGTCGTAGTTTTGGGGTAAGGGCTATGCAGTTTTCACTGAGGCCTCACTGAGAGGGCCACATATGAACAAAGACCTGAAGTGGGGGCAGGCTACCCAGTTGTGTGGGGGAGGAGCAAGCCAGGCAAAGGGAGCAGCCTGTTGTGTTTGAAGAACAGCAAAGAGGCCCTGTGGCTGACCTGAGCACTGGAGAGAGAGTGGTAGGAGACATGAGAGGGTCAGCACCAAGGGCTCTGTGGGGGATGGGGCTTTTACTAGGAGTGAGACAGGAGCCACTGGAGGGACTTGGGTGAGGCATAAGGTGACCTGACTTCCCCCCTCTTGCTGCTGTGTTGAGAGCCAACCACAGGTCCAGGATGAAGCAGGGAGCTGCTTAGAGGCTAGTCTAGCTCTCTGGGTGAGACGGAGATGTGTGTGGCCCGGAACGAGACAGTAGCAGTGGAGGCCTCCAGAAGAGGCCAGATTCTAAGTGTCCATTGCAGGTAGAGCTGACAGGATCTACTGGAAAGGTTGGATATAAAAGGGTAGAGAAATAACAGGAGACAGTTTACTCCCCCATGGCCTGATCTACTGGATTGATGGACATGAGGAAGGCTGGGAGGAAGGGTGGCAATTTGGTTTTGGCCACGTGGAGATCAAGATGTTAGGCATCTTGGGGCACCTGGGTGGCGCAGTCGGTTAAGCGTCCGACTTCGGCCAGGTCACGATCTCACGGTCCGTGAGTTCGAGCCCCGCGTCGGGCTCTGGGCTGATGGCTCGGAGCCTGGAGCCTGTTTCCAGTTCTGTGTCTCCCTCTCTCTCTGCCCCTCCCCCGTTCATGCTCTGTCTCTCTCTGTCCCAAAAATAAATAAACGTTGAAAAAAAAATTTTTTTTTAAAAAAAGATGTTAGGCATCTAGGAGAAGCTACCTACCTAGCCATCAGCCACCAGTTGGGTTTATGAGTCCAGAGGATGCGGGAGTGGGCTGGGCTGGAAGTGTTTATTTGAGATGCCTTGACATACAGTTTGTATTTAAAGTCACAAAGCAAGGGACCAGGTCCGAGGACTGAGCTCTGGGATGCTCCCACGTAAAGAGGTCAGGGAGAAGGAGCAGCCCCTGAGGTGAGAGAAACACCAGGAAAGCTGTGTGCTAGAAACCAAGGAGAGGAAGGATTTCCAGGAAGTGGGAGAGAGTGACCCCTCATCAGAAGATGCAGCCTGAGCATGAGACCCTCTCACTGGAAGTCACTGGTGACCTTGGCAAGAGAGGTTCTCTAGCCAAGGAGGAGAATCTTCTGCTAAGACCATAAAAAACAAAACAAAACAAAACTCCTCTGGGCAAAGTAGAGCAGAGGTGACTGGGTGGCGCCCGAGGTCTGTACGCCTTCAGGTTACCTGTCCCTTAGAGGGCATCCGCACACACCAGTGATGCTGCAAACAACGGAGCCTCAGAGAGGAGGCAGGAGGGCTGAGAGTGGCCCCAACATTGGTGTCAAGGAATCAGCTTATTTCTTCTATAAGGAGGGATATTTCTGTCCTTTAGAGAAGCCACCAGCCTTTCCCTGTGTGGCCTAGTGCACCCGTGACTGTGCGTCAGGATTTGTTGTGAGCCTGTGGTTAATTGGAGGGAGGCTCAGTGTAGAGGAGGACATTTGCTCAGGTTATTAAAGCTTTGTCTCTTCTGTGCCGGGGCCCTGACTTCTGCGCTCTGAGCAAGGCGCTGCTAACTGAGCCACATTCAAACACGCCTCATTACGTGGGACTCAGTCTGTGTCCGTTTAGGCACAGAGGGTCCTTGCTCACCCTAGAGTCTCCCCAGTCTCCCTTTGTTTCCCTTGATTTTGTTTTTCCCCTCTTTGTCAATTAAAAAAAATTCTAGTAGTGAAACCTGCCCATCAAGTAGAACAGTATCAGAAGGGTACAGAGTAAGGGATAATAGGGCCTCTCCCCCAAACTCCACATAACCCCAGAGGTGATCACTGTCTGCTCTTCCATGCAATTCAAGGCAATTCCACTCCTCCCCCCATCCCGCCAAGTGCCAGCCCTGAGTTTCTGCACAGGCAGCTGGCACCACTGCTTGCTGTTCCATCAACAGTCTGTGTGGGGCTTCATTCCACATTCTGTCTGTCCATCCAGCCTGCTGCCTTTTCCCCAGAGCAGTGGCGGCCACTATTCAGTACTCCTGCTCCATTGCTGTTGATTTAGGTTGTTTCTGGTTTGAGGTTGTTAACAGTGTTCTGTTTGCTTCTGTGTCTTTCTGCTTTGGGAAAGATTATAGCCAACTTTCTCCCCGTGGAATTTCTGATTCCTAGGTTAGAGACCTTTAGTTTTGAGACAGGCTGCCAGATCGGCCTCCTGACATATGCCCATTTACCTGTCCACTAAACAGAGGACCCTGTGACAGCATGTTTGTCTCCCCCAACACTGGGCATCACCAGTCTTGGAGTGTGCCAGTCTGACAGGTGGTAAAAGCTACTTCGCTTTTTACTCTGGTTCCACCTGATGGCATAGTTTAGCTGGCTGCCTTAGACCACCCAGAACACTGTTTCTGTTTCTAGAAGACACTCCTGGATGGGCAGCCTCCAGCAGGCAGAGAGGCCTGGGGGCCAGACCCAGCTCTGAGTGGGTGCTGCCTGCTGGAGGACCTTGATGGATCTCTTGCCCCTGTTGGCTCATGTCTAGAGGGGTTTTGTGTGTGTGTGTCTGGTTTTGTTTTTTGTTTTTTTAATGTTTATTTATTTTTGAGAGAGAGAGAGAGAGTGCCAGCAGGGAAGGGGAAGAGTGAGCTGGGGACAGAGGATCTGAAGCAGGCTCCATGCTGCTGATAGCAGAAGGCCCGACGGAGGGCTTGAACTCATTAACAGTGAGATCATGACCTGAGTTGGATGCTTAACTGACTGAGCCATCCAGGTGCCCCTCATGTCTAGAGTTTTTTGTTTTTTGTGTTTTTTTTTAATGTTTATTTATTTTTGAGACAGAGAGAGACAGAGCATGAATGGGGGAGGATCAGAGAGAGAGGGCAACTCAGAATCTGAAGCAGGCTCCAGGCTCTAAGCTGACAGCACAGAGCCCAATGCGGGGCTCGAACTCACGGACTGTGATATCATGACCTGAGCGAAAGTCGGACGCTTAACCGACTGAGCCACCCAGGTGCACCCCCCCCTTTTAAAAAAAAAAAAAATTTTTTTTAATGTTTATTTTTGAGACAGAGAGAGACAATAGAGTTTTTAATCAAGTGTAGCCATGGTTCTGTCTAGCAAAGTGCTGAAAGTGTTTTGACCACAACTTGTAGCTGGAAATGAGTGTAGCATAGTGACTGGCATGTGTGTGAAAGTTGCACAGAACATACTCCCCCACCCCCCGCCCCAGTCACATGTGGCGTACTCTGATATCTTTTTCCTTTATTCTGTTTTTTAAAATGCTGCTCCTGAGAACTGGTGCCTCTCTGGAGTTCTGAGGAACGCATCCTGGGGTTGGGGGATTTCCAGCGGCCTTAGAGACTTGGAAAATGTCCTCTACAGAGAAGTTCTTCGAGTGGGGCCTAAGACTGGGTTGTGAAGGGGACACTGCATAGGAGACCCTAGCTTGACCTCAGCTCTCCCAGGGTTTTTTCCCTTAAGCTGCTCCAAACCTGTGTCCCTGTGTGGGGTACACAGTTCCATTCAAACTGAAGTGTGGGCCAAGCCCTTGGCTGTCTCCTTCCTGTCATGCACTGGAGCAGGGGGCATGAGAACAGGGTAGACAATCAGAAAGAGGGCCAGGAAAGCCCTGCTACCCCACAAAGCTTCTGTGGAGGGTCCCTCCACCCTCCCTCTGCTACCCAACTTTCTCTTGTTTTAGGTTGAAAGGGTGGCCTTTCTCTAATTATAGTATTTGCCTGGCCTAATTACAGCCCGGGCTAATTTGTTAATGGTTTTGGGAACTGAGAGCCTTTGCCTTGGGCAGTATCACAGCCCCTGGGTACATGCTGGGGAGTTTGCCAAGGAGAGCAGAGTGAAGGAATGTGAGTGCCCCGTGGGGCCCCATGGGCAGCCTGGGCTGTCTGAGGAGCCCCATGTCCAGTTGGCACACACATGTCTCTGACTGATGGCTCCACTGTCCGTGGGTTGTCAATGTGGGTCTTTCCCCTCTCCAGGACTCTCAGGAGATCCTGATGCACGGCACCAGACAGGCCCTTGCCATTTTCATTCTACTGAAACAAAAGGTCTGAAATGCCTTGAGATTTAAAAAATACTTTTGGTTTTCCTTTTCATAAGAGCAATATCTGTTTGCAGTAGAAACTTCAGGAAACAAAGAAAAGGGAAAAAAAAAACCACCCATACCCCACCCCAGTGACTCATGACCCCAAGTGTGTTAACGTTTTGGTGGAGGAGTCTCATGCCTAATCCCTTTGTTCTTGCCTGACTCATTGCATTGTTCCCCCCCTCCCCCCACCCCCTGCCAGGGAAGTCCCACCTGGCCATCGTGCAGAAGGTGAACAACGAGGGTGAAGGTGACCCCTTCTACGAGGTGCTGGGCCTGGTCACCCTGGAGGATGTCATTGAGGAGATCATCAAATCTGAGATCCTGGACGAGTCGGATATGTACAGTGAGTTCCATCCTCTCCACAGGCCTGGAACCCTTTTCCTATTCACATCCTAGGTGTCCCTAGGTGAGAAGGCCACAGTGCAAGGACATGGGAGGGCTGGCACCCTGAGACCCAGGAACTCCGTGTCTCACCCCGGCCAGGGACCTTGCCCTGGTGCAGACACTGCTGCTTGTGCCTGGAAGAAAGGACTGCAGAGCTGGGGACTGGGGAGCAGGTTCTAGTCTGTTCCTGAGTCATTGGGGTTCAGTGTTCTCAGTTCTAGATTCTGCCTCTTGCAGCTGACAACCGAAGCCGGAAACGAGTATCTGAGAAGAACAAACGTGACTTCTCAGCCTTTAAGGATGCTGACAATGAACTCAAGGTGAAAATTTCACCTCAGCTACTTCTGGCGGCTCATCGCTTCCTGGCCACGGGTAAGAGCAAGTGGAGGGCCTTCAGGTGTTGATGGGATACAGTCATGGAAGAAGGATTCTAGGCCTCTGGCTACTTTCTCCCATGGGACAAGGGCTGTGGCAGGTGAAAGGTATGGGGAAAACATGATTGCCTCTGAAAGGGGGCAAGGCGCCTTCCCTCTATCCCTGGGGCACTCCTTGTGATTTGTTTTCTTTGTTGATGGGTTGCCATTGCAAATTTCTAGGAAGCAACCAAGTTGGTTTTGAAAATAACCACTGGGAGTACCTGAAGTGGGCCCTGGGGTTCCCCAGACCCATGGGTGCTGGGGAGGAGGAGGGAGAAAGAGGCCTTTCCACATACTGTGGGCCCACAGCTCTTGTCTGGCACAGCTCTTGTCTGGCTCATGCACTCCAAGGAGTCTCAATCCAGTTCTGTTCTCATCTCTCCTCCTTCCCCTCTGCCTGAATTTGCTGGGTCCAGCAGGACTTGACCTCTAGGTCAATGACATTTCTCTCTTCTCACCCCTGACTCAAAGCCCCTTTGGGGATCTGGGTGATTGATTTGAAAAGCTCCTGCCTATTCCCCACCTCCCCACAAAATCTGACTTCCTTCCTAACTCTCACTTGCTGAAGGATGTTAATTCTCTTTATTTTTCCTGCCAGGATATTGACGATAGTGCTAATGATAATAATGATGATAATATTTATGAAGCACTTTCCATATGGCAAGAATGTATCTAAGAGTTTTTTTTTTTTTAATGTTTATTTATTTTTGAGAGAGAGACACACACACAGCTCACACAGTGTGAGCAGGAGAGGGTCAGAGCGAGAGGGAGACACAGAATCTGAAGCAGGCTCCAGGCTCTGAGTTATCAACACAGTACCTGATACGGGGCTCAAACTCACAAACGGTGAGATCAGACCTGAGCCAAAGTCAGACACCTAACCTACTGAGCCACCCAGGCACCCCAGAGCATGTTTTGTTTTTAAAGTAACCTCTATACCCAATGTGAGGTTGTAACTTGCGACTCTGAGATCAAGAGTCCTATGCTCCACTGACTGAGCCAGCCAGGAGCCCCAACCCTACGAAGTTTTGTTTTGTTTTGTTTTGTTTAATTATTATTTTTTTTTTAGAAATCTTTTTTTTTTTTAATGTTTATCTATTTTGAGAGAGAGAGAGAGAGCTGCACCTATATGAGCAGGGGAGGGGCAGAGAAAGAGAGGGAGAGACATAGAATTCTAAGCAGGTTCCACGGTATCAGTGCAGAGCCCGACACAAGGCTTGAACCCACAACCTGCGAGATCATGACCTGAGCCAAAATCAAGAGTCAGATGCTCAGAGAAATACAAATCAAAACCACAATGAGATACCATCTCACACCAGTCAGAATGGCTAACATTAACAACTCAGGCAACAACAGATGTTGACGAGGATGCGGAGAAAGAGGATCTCTTTTGCATTGTTGGTGGGAATGCAAACTGGTGCAGCCACTCTGGAAAACAGTATGGAGTTTCCTCAAAAAATTAAAAATAGAACTACCCTATGACCCAGCAATTGCACTACTAGGTATTTATCCAAGGGATACAGGTGTGCTGTTTCGAAGGGGCACATGCACCCCCATGTTTATAGCAGCACTATCAACAATAGCCACAGTATGGAAGGAGCCCAAATGTCCATCGATGGATGAATGGATAAAGAAGATGTGGTGTGTATATATACAATGGAGTATTACTCGGCAATCAAAAAGAATGAAATCTTGGCCATTTGCAACAACATGGATGGAACTAGAGGGGATTATGCTAAGCAAAATTAGTCAGAGAAAGACATATCGTATGACCTCACTCGTGGAATTTGAGATACAAAACAGATGAACATAGGGGAAGGGAAACAAAAATAATATAGGGAGGGGGACAAAATATAAGAGACTCAAATACAGAGAACAAACCTAAGGGTTGCTGGAGGGGTTGTGGGTGGGGGAATGAGCTAAATGATCAAGGGGCATTAGGGAAGACACTTGTTGGGGTGAGCACTGGGTGTTGTACATAGGGGGATGAATCACTGAATTCTACTCCTGAAATCATTTTTGCACTAACTTGGATGTAAATTTAGAAAAATAAATAAATTAAAAAAAAAAAAAAAGAATCAGATGCTCAGAATCAGATGTTGAGCCACCCAGGTACCCCAACCCTACGAGGTTATAATCCCCATTTTACAGATGAGGAAACTGAGGCACAGGTTAAGTAACTTGCCCAAGATCACACACTATTAGTGCAAGCGCCGCCATTCCAGCCTAGGCAGGCGGGCCGACTGGAGTGTAACCTGTTTGGATCCAAAGGTGCTTCCTTCCCAGGGAGGTGCAGAACCAAAGGGAAGGGCCTGGGCAGGGAGGGGGCTGTGTTCCCCACGTTGCCTATTCCAGGCCCCCTGTGAAGTCCTTGTCTCTCTTCCTACAGAGGTTCCCCAGTTCAGCCCCTCTCTAATATCTGAGAAAATCCTGCTTCGGCTGCTCAAGTACCCAGATGTCATTCAGGAACTCAAGTTTGATGAGCACAACAAATATTACATCCGCCATTACCTGTACACCCGGAATAAGCCGGCCGACTACTTTATCCTCATCCTGCAGGTAAGTGGCCTGCTCCGTGCCTGCCCCCCTATGCCCACTGTCCCCTCCTTGCCTGCTGAAGTGGCTGGGGGACACAGGGCTTTCCTGCCTAGGGAACGTCCAGCCTGCCCCTGAGCCTCTGCTCCCCCTTTGCCCACCCTCTTCCTGAGAGGCCACCCTTGAGTCTCCAGGTCAGGGTACCTGAACTCTTCGGGGCTCTGGAACCAGCTCTTCCTTGCCCTTACTTCTCCCTCTTGCTTTGTCCTTTTTTCCCTCCGTTGAGTTCTCTTTCTCAGTCTGTTTGTCTTCCTGGCCCTGTGTTCTTCCAGGGGAAGGTGGAGGTGGAGGCCGGGAAGGAGAACATGAAGTTTGAGACAGGCGCCTTCTCCTACTATGGGACCATGGCCCTGTCCTCGCCCACCTCTGGTGAGTCGCTGGGTTGCATCTGTGCTTCTGTGCTGCCCTCCAGCATACCTGGGTTGGGCGGATACTTAGACTGGCACCCAGAACCTGGGACAGTCCAGGTGGCTCAGGGGAGAGGGAGGCCAGTCAGGGCCAGAGCTGTCAGGGCCTAGCAGAGGTGGTCCAGAAGAGCTGTGACTGGCTCCTTCGGACAGGATTCTGAGAGTGGGGAGAAGAGATGGGAAAGGGAATCTGCGCAAAGGCCTGCATGGAGCTGAGAGCATGTCTTGAGATGTGAGAACAGCCTGCCAGAGTTGGGGGAGGACCATGGGGAGTAAGGACATGTCGGGGAGCCCCAGAAAGTTGGCAGCATTTGGTTGTGATAGGAAGCAGGAAGCCACTGATGGCCTTTGAGCAGGGGGAAGTACGACAGCACAATGGGCCAACCAGGCAAGCAGCCACAGCAGCGAGAAGAATGAGTGGAGGCAGGTGGAGGGAGGCCACAGGCTCTTGCTCATGGAGACTGGGTTAGGGAATTGAGGTGGAGAGTGAGGGGGTCCAGAGTGCCTATGGTTGGGAGCCAGGCCGGGGCCTATTTGCTGGGCAGGTTGCAGATGGGTTGACTTTTCCGGGGGCTTAGCCACTGCCTTTTGATTAAGGGCTGGTTCTTTTTTTTTTTTTTTTTTTTTTTTTTATGTTTATTTATTTATTTTGAGAGAGAGAGATAGCAAGTGGGGCAGGGGCAGAGAGAGAGGGAGACAGAATCCCAAGCAGGCTCTGCACTGCCACTGAAGAGCCCGGCATCGGGCTTGAACTCACGAACTGTGAGATCATGACCTGAGCCAAAATCAAGAGTCAGATGCCTAACTGACTGAGCCACCCAAGTGCCCAGAGGGCTGGTTCTGATGGCAGAAAGGGATTTGGGACAAAGAGGGACTGGACATGCCCTCCAAGAGAGGTTGTGGGAAGTCCAGGGAAGGGCCACTCTGGCCACCCTGGCGCTTTCTGCTTCTCCAGTCCTGGGTGGTTCAGGCTCCCCTTGCCAGAGGGACCTTGTGACTAAAGTGGCACCCTGCAGGCAAGACCCAAGTCTTGCCAGATTGGCTCCTCACCAGTTGTATGACCCCTCTTAACCTCCAGAGGGGCTCCAGGTTGCTGCAGGCTGGGAAGTGAAAATCTACTTTATTGCTGGGGGACAGGCCACATATTTAGGTGTGTGTGCATCTCCTGGAGAGCCTCTGTGCTATGCCTGTTGCTGTCCTTTGACAAAGAGGACCTGTGCAGGGGCCAGGGCATCCACGTATATTGACACAGCTCAGCTTATCCACTGGTGTGACATAGCTCTGCCCCTCCACCAGCATGAGCAGGCTCCAGGAAGGAGAGAGTGAGGAGACAAGGTTCCAGAGCTGGGTTTTGGAGCAGTTGTCCTCTGCCTGGATGCATTGGGCCTAAGGAGGATTTCTCTGCCCCTCCCAAGAGCACCTCTTGCCATCCAGCTGGGGGAAATCTTGTCCAGAAAGGCACACAGTCATGGGACATTTCCTCCAGGCACGCTTTCTCTGCAACAATGCCTTAGAGGCTTGGGTCAGAGTCCTGGGCTCTATCCTTTGACCTGGAGGCACTCAGTTCCCACTTGGAGTGGCCAAAAGGAAGAAGGGATGACTTCTGGGGGGCTTGCTTCACTGTGGAAGCTTCTGCCCCTCTCTGAGCAGGGCTTGTTGGATTGCCCTAAGCCCCTCCCCATCAGAGCCATGTCCCCCTTTCCATTGTGCCCCCTCTTTGCCCAAGGGAGCCTGACCCCCAGCACATCTGCTTCTCTATCCCATACCTGTGGCTCCATGTTCTACCTCCTCACCCTACCCATCGCTGACCTTTTCCTCTTTTGCTCCAGTGCCTTCAACCCAGGTCGGGTGTCCGCCTGGCAAGCGGAACTCCCTGCTCTCCTGGCTCTCAGGTAACATGGCATGGCTGGAGAAGTTTGCACTGCCACCTATCGCCTGAGCCCACATACCACAGCTCTACTAACCTCTCCCAGCAGGCACTGGGGCTCCCCACAGCACCTCAGGCCATCCCACCCGTTCACACTTGTGGGCCAGCTTGATTTGCACTGGCTCTGCTTGGCCTAGGGCCCAATTACTGGGTGGCCTTGCCCTGGTTCTGGAAGAGCATCCCCAAAGGTCCTTCAGTCCTTGAGAAGACACACACACATGCACACACACATACACACACACACGCATGCACACAGATAGGGTGGGAAGGGAGGGTTGCTTCTGGCCAGGCCAAGTGAACCCAGCTGTTCGGCACCCCCTGATCAAGGCTACTCACAAACATCACGATGCCTGTCATGTCATCAGCTTTTTCTAAAAAACTTTCCTCCTTTCTTCACAGGCTTTGCTCTTCATTCTGTTGCTGCTGGTGTCTGCCTGCCAGGGGGAGGCAGCCGCCGGGCAGTTAGAAGTGCGGCCCTGGGCAGACTGCCCTATTTGAATGCTGTCTCTGCAGTTACTAGCTAAATGATTCCGGGAGCTGACTTACTCTAAGTCTTTGTTCCCTCTTGTGAAATGGGAACAATATATGTGCCCACTTCTTAGAATTGTCAGGAGCAGTGAGAGAATTGGTATGAAATGTTAGAGCTCAATTGTTACTTCTGTTTTCTTCTTGATTACAACTAAAATGTGCTATTCCAATCATAAACTATTGAGGAAGAGGCCCAATGCCATATACTGTTTCTGGCCTTTGCTGGGACACAGTCTTGAGCCTTATCCCAGAATTACTGGGCTGACTGAGTCAGTTCTCAGTCATTTATGTGGAGGCAGCAGAGGGTGGCAGAAGGTGCTGGTCTCACCATCAGAATTCTGGCCTGACCTGGTGAGTCCAGGGGAGGTTAAGAGCATTACAAGTGCCTTTGAGCTCCAGTCTCGCTGTGTAACTTAAAGAAGCTCCTGAGGCCCTGACAGTCCTATCACCAGAGTCCATCTTTTCCCATTTTATATTCATACAGCTGGGTTTTTTCTCCTCAGCTGTACCAAAGGACATGTTTTTATCGATTCTCTTTAAAAAAAAAAGTAAAAAGGTGATTTAGAAGACACTCAGCCTTTTCAAACAGCCACCTTTTGGCTGTAATAGAAGTGGGAAGCTGACAATGGCCTTTGAGTGGGTGATGTCCAATGACAACAGAATGGACCATGTTGGTCCTCCTTGGCCAACATTTCAGCCCCCTCTTCTCTCTTCTGCACTTGCTTTTGTGTCACACTGGCCAGGAGTTTATGTATACATGGTTCAGATCCTGATGTTTGTACCTAATATGGGAACAGAGATGCTTTTCCATAAGCTTTCTGGTTAGAGCCATGCAGTATTCCCCCAGGCACATGTGCCTGCATTTGTTATTCCGCCCCTTATGTAGTTCACTGGGGTCTAAATAACACCAGGATGTGTTGTGAAGAAACTTTCTCTGTGTTTAAGATTATGTTCTCAGGATATCCTTTCAGAATGAAATTACCAAGTCAAAATCTCTTAATTTTTTTTTACACGTTTATAGTTCTGTTTTAATCATAAAAGCAACGTAGCTTATTTAGAAAGTTGAGCAAATAGAAAAAGTCTTAAGAAAATTAAGAAGTATCATAATTTCATTATTCAGAAACGTTTCATATTTTGGTCTATTTCTTTTTGGGCTTCTATTTTTAAAGGGCCGTGTCACTAATATGTGTTGTTTTTTTTTTGTTTTTGTTTTTTTTTTCAACATTTATTTATTTTTGGGACAGAGAGAGACAGAGCATGAACGGGGGAGGGGCAGAGAGAGAGAGGGAGACACAGAACTGGAAACAGGCTCCAGGCTCTGAGCCATCAGCCCAGAGCCCGACGCGGGGCTCGAACTCACGGACCGCGAGATCGTGACCTGGCCGAAGTCGGACGCTCAACCGACTGCGCCACCCAGGCGCCCCTATGTGTTGTTTTTAAATTCAGTTTCTGGAGCATTAATAAGCATTAATAAAAGCATTCCATCATCCAAATGATTAACATGAAACATTAGGTAATATCTTTAGTATTTGTGTTTCTTTTCTAGGACTTAATCAGAGATGTTAGGTTAGGATAAGTGATATATGCACACGATCCTCTCTAATGATTGTACACCGCCCAATCATAGACTACCCAGACTATATTTTCCTAGTTTTATGAATGAAGCTCAAAGATAGAGTATTACTCAGTTCAGTCTCCCTCAGTTAAACTTGAATTGGTCCTTCAGTCACCTGGATTCATTGTGTTTGCTGTCTTCACTGAACTATTTGTTAGAATAGCTAACTTAATAGTTAGTTAGTAACCTAGTGGTTAAGTAAATAAGCTTAGTGCACTTCCTGTTTGTTTAAAAGAAGCCAGCATGCCTTCACAATTAACTTCTTTGTGCATTTCATTGTTTTCTAAGTGTTCTCAAAAATAAGAGCTAATGATGTACAATATGGGTACAGTTCCTTTTTCAAAATAAGGAGTCTGTTCCTTCCTCGTTTGTGGTTGAGTCATCCCCCTTTCCTGGTTACAGTCGTCTGAATGGAGGCCTGTGCTGCCCCTGGTCATGGGAAGAGGCGCCTTCACCACTACCCCAGTCTTTGCCTCAAGGGAGGGGCACTTGGACCAGCCTGGAGAAAACCACCAGAGTGGGAGGCCTGGAGCTCTGGAGGCTCTAGGTTCCTGTGAGAGGAACCTGCTGCCCTTGTCCCTCTTGTCACATTGACTGGGGCCAGCAGACACAAGTGGCTGGGACAGTTCCACCCAGAACAGGTCATGTGCAGAACATACTTTTGATCTCTGAAAAGCATTTTAAGGGGCGCCTGGGTGGCTGGGTCAGTTAAGTGTCTGATTCTTGATCTCAGTTCAGGTCTTGATCTCAGGTTCATCAGTTCGAGCCACACATTGGGCTCCGCGCTGGGCATGAAGCCTACTTAAAAACAAAAACAAAAAACAAAACAGCATTTTAAGATGTGAATAGGGCATGGTGTTGTGAGGTCTGTGTGGATGCGCAGGGAGAGGGTGCAAACTGTATGTCTTCCTTTAATATAATTTAAAAGTATATGGTGTATGTCACCTGATATAAGCTGGTACAGAGACAAAGATAGCGACTTGTCTGCCATGGCAGGGTAATCACTATGTTGCCCTTGACTGATTAGTTGTTGGGGAAATGAGGGGTTGTGCAGCTATAAACTTTCTGTGTCTTCGGTTTTTGTTTTCTGCTTTGGTAGGCTTTTTAATACTTCTTGCACAACACTTCTAAACAAACTAACTCATTTGCTTTGATGAGGTCAGATCTTCTACAGTTGGAGCTTCTGCTTGTCCTTAAGAACTGTTCCCATTCCTGGTGGGGGCCCTGCTCCCGGGTGTCCATGGGACAGGTTAGCAAGAGGTTGTGAGGGGCCACCGGGGCTCCTGGCCTGACGACCTGTCTCTCCCTACAGACCACTCCCCATCCCACCCCACCACCCTCAGTCGCTCAGCCTCCCTCAGTTACCCGGACCGCACGGATCTCACGAACACAGCTACCTTGGCAGGCAGCAGCAACCAGTTTGGCAGCTCCATCCTGGGCCAGTACATCTCTGACTTCAGTGTCCGGGCGCTCATGGACCTCCAGTACATTAAGGTGAGTGCTTCCTGTGTCTCCATCTGGGAAGTGCTGTCTTCCTCGTCTTAGGCATTTGGATGACTCTGCCTCAGCAGTCAGCAACTTCTTTCTTTCGCCCACCACACATGGCACAGAGGGCCCGGTCTCAAGATGTGTGTCCTCCTTATTCTCATTCCTTATTTTCACTAGCTTCCAGAAACTCCAGCTAGTCATGTCCTCTCTTCTGGACTCATAGCCCAACCCTGACCAACCCTGTTCCCCCGGGTCCTGTAAGGTTTGCCTCTCAGTTCCTGCTCTCTGTGAACCTCATCCCTTCCTCCTGCAGATCACTCGGCAACAGTACCAGAATGGGCTGCTGGCCTCACGCATGGAGAACTGCCCTCAGTTTCCCCTGGATGGCTGCACCATCTGCACGGAGAACTTGGCCGGGAAGGCTGAGCTGCCTGTGGTAGATGAGACCACAACTCTTCTCAATGAGCGCAACTCTTTGCTGCACAGAGCTTCCCATGAGAGTGCCATCTGACAGGAGGGCCCGGGGCCCCCCGCCAGCCCCGCGGGGGTCTCCCCAGTGGGCCCACATGAAGATAGGGAGCCTGTTAGGCCAGGAGGGGTGCAGATAGCCTGTCTAACTGAGCAGCCAGATGGCCCCCAGAGTGGGGGGGTTTTGGCCTCCGACAGGGACCTCTGAACAACTCTGAGGTAGCGGCTGCCCAGTTCTAGACTGGCAGGGCAGTGGGCCAGCTACCATGAGCAAGGCTGTTTTTTACTGAGAGAATTTCTGAACTAGGCTCACTGCTCCTCTTTTTAAATATTGTTTGGGGAAAGGAATGGGGAAGGGAAGACAGGGTTAAGGAACTTTATTTAAAACAATTTTTTTTTCCCCATAAAAACTTTAATTAAAAGGGGTAGGGTTTCTCACCCCAGGAAGCAATAGCCATAATCTGCTCCCAGCCGTGACCTTCTGGCTTATGTCCCTGACTCAGGGAGCCCACTCTTCCTCCTCTTCCTCCTCTCCCTCCTCCTCCTCCTCCTCCTCCTCCAGAGATGGGATCCTAGAGGCCCACTGGAGGAAGGTTTTCTCTCGGGAGGAAGATAGTTCCTTCCAGGAAACAAAGAACCAAATAGCGCTGAGAACAACTGCCTGGACACATGCACTGAGGCTTGTCTGACGTTGCCGAGGCTGAAGGATTCTGGGTAACTGTGATGAGGGACATGGTACTCCCAGCTACAGAGAGGAGCACACCTACTCCTGTCAATCGCTGGATCCTGGAGTTTCCTAGAACTCTGCTGATGGGCTCTTCTGGTGAGTTGGGCTAGGCTGAGGATTCTCACCCCTGTCTCCACTGGTTTGACTCAGAGCAGGGTCTCACACCCTGAAGATCACTTACCCCTGCTCCCCAGGCCCTGCCCTTACTTTTACCAAAGGTTTCCCCCTAGGTGGAAGAGCATCTGTCTACATTACGGGTGACTTGTCTGAGATACTCCTTTCCATTCCAGGAGAGAATCTGGTCATGGGCATCTGTGTTGTTAGCAATTAATCCATCCCCCTTCCCACCCCACAATGTAAGTCAAGTGTTAGTCACTGACCTATGAAGCCCTTCTTTCCAGACTCCCTGCTTCTCATCCCAAAACCCCTATGCCTCTTGGGGATTGAGGACAACAGGACACATAGGAAGCCAACCTAAGGTTCTTCATGCCCTTTCCTGTGTGGCTGAGGCTTACCCAACCCTGTTCACACATGTACAAAACCCAGGAAAGGAAGTTTCTTCCTAAAAGGCACACAGCTGGCAGCCATGTTGCCCCATCTTTGTAATCCTAGCCTGAGTTGTCATCTTGGCCTTGGCTCAAGCTGGTGGTACTGGAACCCGAGAGCTCCGTCCCCACATGGAGTTCTGCCCAGGCGGTTTTTCCTTGGGGCTGAATTAGGCCTTGCTGCGGGGCTCCAGGCTTGCCACTGTTGGGAAGGCTGTGGGACCAAGGTCCATGTTGGCCCTTTCATCAGGTGAAACAGGTGCCCAGGGCCTAAGATCAGGCGAGGGAGACTCGCAAGCCTTCCACCTAAGTAGTATTTATTGACCCTTTCTTCAGTCAGTGACTTCTGTCACCCCAAGTACTCTATTCTTCAAGCGCCTGGAGAATCCTAACTCTTGGGACCAGGAAATGTACCAAATATACTTGCCTGGCCAGTTTAAAGTCTTCCCCAGTCACAGAATTTATTCGTAAAAGTCTGGAGAGAAAGTGGGAACACCCATGGGTTCTCAGTCATGAGAAAAATAGACACTAGACCTTTATTCCCTGTTGGGGGAAACCCCTCAGTTTTCCACAGGAGCAGCTTGCTTTCTGAGTCTGCACGGGAGCTTGCAAAGCTGTGTTCCTGAGAGACCTGAGTGCCAGGTGGAGCAGACCGTATTGGCCTGAACCAAGTGAGTGTGTGTGAAGTAAAAGGAGCAGGTGCACACACTTCCACAGCTACCTCTTTGCACACACAGTTACTACCAACAGATGGTCCCTCCTCCCCCTCCCTTTTCCCATTTATAATCACTTCTTGCAGAGGGTCATAATTATTTCCAAATATTACTGGTCCGATGACTTCCTCCTCCCAGTGCAATTTTTCACTTCCTATTCCAACCTCTGGTTCCTGGGCTGAGCCATACCCTGGAACTGGCCCACCCCTGCATGTCTTCCCATGTAAGGGAGACCTTCGCAAATGGCCTCCAAATGGGTAGGCAAGTCATAGCCACCGTAGCAAATAACTCCTATTTATTTTGCATAAGATTTTAATTTGTATATTTTTGTGATTTATTTTGGCATTGTTATGAGTTTGACTCTCGGGGAGTTTTGTTGTATGACTCTTGTGTCTTTTGTCACAAGACAATGATAATATTTGCTAAACAATATATGGAATTTATTTTTGATTGGTAATAAAAAATGAAATATGAAATCTTGGTGAGTCTATAATTTGCCTCTTTGAGTTCTGTCAGTATTCGGTACCTGTCATAAAGATAGTGGCTGTGGTTGGCTGTCACCTATGACAGGGTAAGGGGCAAGTATTCTGGCACTGTTTAATAGTAAAAAGGAAAGCAGAAATGAAATTTACAAAATATGTGTAATCAAGGCTATTGTCACAGGAGCTAGAGAGTGCCAGCTGCTGTTAGATGTACAGGGCAAATGTGCTCAACTGCAACAATGAGGGGTATTGTCAAAATGGACACCATAGTCTTCTGCCTACGGGTACTGGAGGGGGCAGTCAGCATGGGCAAGTCGCCCCTTCTCTCTCCCCTGAGGGCCCAAGGAGAAAGCTTTATCCAAAAGTATGATCACGTTGTTTCATAACATGCAGTCGCCTTTTTGTCCTTGCCCATGAAGTTGGTGGAGGACTCAAAGTTGGAGAGCTCATCCCCTGAAGAACCCACCTGAGAGTCGCCTCACTGCATCTACTCTTGAGGTTTCTGCTGGGTAGACTTGCGCAGCGCCCATAGGTGCTGTGGCTGTGGTAACTGAGTGTGCTGAGGCCAGAGGCTCAAGCAAGCCAGGCTTAACAGAGCAGACAAATGTGGGGAATATTTAAAGGGGAGAGAAAAGGACATTCCAGATAAAATAGCAGATGCAAAAGCTTGTGTATAGGGGGACACGAGAATAAATTTCATCTGACCATATGTTCCACACATGTTTAAGTCCCTGCTACATGCCAGGTGCCACCAACAACTCAATGAGTTTGGTGAGGAAGACTCCCTGAGGGAGATAGTCACACCAGAACCTTCTGATCTCCTGTGTCCTCCACGTGGAACTCTTCTCCCAGGTCTTTGTGAGGCTCACCCCCTCACTTCATCTAAGTTTCCATTCAAATGCCACCTCCTTGGAGAAGACTTCCCTGGTCACCCCATCTAAAACAGCATGGCCCCAGTCCCTCTGTCCATTTCCTCATCTTGCTTCGTTTTGCTCCATAGCATTTACTGCCAGACAGTAAAATGAGGATTTATGTGTGGTCTGTTATTCCCACACTAGAACCTAAGTTCCAGGAGGGCAGGGTCTTTCTCGTTCCCACATGGTACCAGCACTAGAATGGTACCTGGTACACTGTAGGCACTCAATGCAGGAAATACTTGTTGAATGAATGAATGAATGGGTCTTACAAGAAGGTAAGTATTGGATGCTGTTGGGGAAGAGCACATAGCTCCCATAACCTTGACCCGATCTAGTCAAGAGATAGTAGAGGAAGACCGGCTGGAGTAAATGACACTTGCAGACTTGAGAAATAAGCAGGAATTTAGCAGTGAAGTCACATTAGTTATGAGTTTGAAACTCAAGAATAAGTATTTAGATAAGACATGGAAATGTTTTGAACCAAATGAGCAGTAAGGAAAATGGCCTGGAGAGGATCAATGAGAGACCTGAAGGTCAAGTGGCATGTGTCTCCATTGATGCAGTGACTACCCAGGGGATGGGGGCAAAGAATGGTACAGAGCCAGCAAAGAAAGCTGAAGTACTCTTGCGGCCTCTGTTAACAGAAAATCACTCCTTGAGCATCTTTGCCCTACTGGATTCTTTTTGTCTTTGGGTATACACAATTTAAGTGAACATTTGTGTTTTCCAAGTGCAATCCAATTGTCCTACCCAAAGGTTTTCTCCAAAAAATGAATTATAGGTTGTTTTCCAAGGGAGCCTGAGACCAAATCCATAGCGAGTTTTTCCTCTTTCCTGTGGGACTGTTCTTTGCTAGTTAACTTTTTACCTGACTTTCCTTTTAAGCAGGTCATCCATTCTGTTTCAAGGTCAGCATTGTCTCTGGACTTGAAGACAGAAGTGCTAACTAAAGGAGCTGAATCTATAAATTTTTTCTTCAGAGAATGCATGCTGATCCAGTGGAAAGGCTCAGTAGTGTCATTATTGCTTCTGCTGGTGCCTTATTCTGTAATCTGCAAGTGAGGCATATAGCACCATCCAGATAATAAAAACTAGAAACATGGAGACCATGGTTTGCATAGTTGGGATAGTCACAGCACTGAGATTATGATGTTGAAGAGACATTATTACCACCCTTGAAGAGTTTTTCACACAGCGTTTTTTTCTTTTGGTCTTTCACACATGGATTTGTTCATTTTTGCACATTGCCTTCCACACTTAACTGTGTGCCACAGTACCTATACTTATTCTTTTCATGACATAGCAAATGTGTTTCTGTAGAATCCTTATAAAGATTTTAAATGACATTCACCCTTTTCAAAGTCTACTTTTGTTACTAGGAAATTTGAAAATACATAAAAATGTAAAGAAAACACAAAACACAATCTGGACACCTGTAGAAAAGCCCCGTTCCCAGTTTATTTCCTTTCAATCAAAGAGCATACATAATGGGTGAAAAACATTCCATACTGTCAATGAACCATTCTGTCTTTTAAATAACTCTCTTCTTGAATAGTTCTTCTTGTTCCTGAGTAAATATTTTCCCAAGGATAATCTGCTAGAAGTGGAGTGACCAGGTAACTGATTTTTGACAAAGCTGCCCTCTGTTAGCGTGGGTGGGATGGTGACCAGGATATCAGGCAGGTCGTGTTGGAATCCAGCATCCATGCTAAGTCATGCTTCACTTTTCTACTGTAAAAGTAGATGTGGGAATCCAAAGAGGTAGTGATTTCGTTTGTTTACACAATTACCATCATTCTCCCTAGCAGGAATGCAAGTTCCTTGAAGGCAAAGGGCTGTCTCAACGTCCCCAGACCTATATATAGCACAGTCGGGCGCAATCAACCTGAAGAAACTTGAGCTTCCCAACGTCCAGTCCTCTTTCAGCTCTCCTTGCCCCTAGGTCAGTGGTTCCCGGGCCCTTTCCTCATAAATGGCACATCTGTCACATACTGAAATTCTGCCTGCCAGCCGCTCCGCTCCGCGCCCCGAGTCAGGGACTTCCCAAAGCACAAGTCCGGTCTCCCGGCGCGCCGGCACTGCCTGTGGGAACGAGACGCCCAGCTCGCCACTCCGCGCCACCCGGCGCTGGCCACCCCTCGCCCTAGGACTCACGGCTGAACCCCGCGGGGCTGAGAGCCCCACGCCCCCGGCCCGCCCCAGGATCGCGCCGCCGCTTGTTTACTCCCCGGCGCAGCCTAGTCCGACCCTGGGACCCGCCCTCGCCCACCGCCTATTGGCGGAGGAGGTGCCAAGGCTAGCGACGATTGGTCCGGAGGAGGCGGAGGGGTAGGCTGCGCGGGAGGCCGAGAGGGGGCAGCAGGCGATGGCGGCGGCGGCGGCGGGTCGGCTAGGCTGGTTGCTCGCCGCGCTCTGCCTGGGCAACGCCGCCGGAGAGGCGGCGTCGGGCCCGCGAGTGTTGGGTGTCTGTCTGGAAGAAGACGGAGCCGCGGACGCGGGGTGGGCGCGCGGAGGAGAGGTCCGGGACGCATCGGAGGCCACCTTCCGCCTGCGCGTCTTTGGCTCGGGTTTGGCCAACAGCTCCTGGTCCTGGGTGGCCCCCGAGGGGGCGGGCTGCCCCGAGGGCGGGCCGGCCGCGGCGTCCGAGGAGGCGGCGGCCCCCACGGGCGAGTGGCGCGCGCTGCTGCGCCTCGGCGCCTCGGGGGCGCGCCCGCACTCGGAGCTGTTGGCCAAACCCGAGCCAAAGATTTTTTTTTTTTTTTTTGCCTCCGATGCGTCCCGGACCTCTCCTCCGCGCGCCCACCCCGCGTC